ACTCAATATGCCAGACACAGTAACAACAAAGTCTCCAATGGAGACGTTACTGGGCCCGCTCGAACAAATCGACCAAGAAAGTAAACAGCCAAAAGTTAGGTATGTGGGAGACACACCCACAAACCACCTCCGGCTCAGCTATATAATTGGAAGCATAGCCTCTCTGGTTCTTGATCGAACTGCTTAATGGCCATGATCCCAGAGACTCAGAAACGAATCTCAGAACCCAAAGGCTTTTGGCAGAAATGCGTCCAGTCCCTGCAGTAGGTTGCAGGCGCTGGGCCACCCCAGGTGGGAATAGGTTTCGTGCCTTGGCCTGTTCCCCCTGGCGGCCCGGTGGCAGTCATCATCCAGAGGCCACTAGACAGTTAAGTTTGGGCCGACAGTGAAGAGACACATGGGACCTCACAGGATGGGGATGGAGCCGGCCCTTTCCTCCTCATCCCAACGAGACCCCGAATCACTGCCCACGAATGGCCTCTCTGGCTCCAGATCAAGCTGCTTAATGGCCATGATCCCAGAGACTCAGAAACAAATCTCAGAACCCAAAGGCTTTTGGCAGAAATACATCCAGTCCCTGCAGTAGGTTACTGTTGCTGGGCCACCCCAGGGGGGAAAGGGTGCTATCCCTCCACCTGCTCCCCCTTGGCAGCTCGGTGACCGCCATCCGCCAGAGACCACTGGACAGTCAGGTTTGGGTCCTCAGTGACAAGACACGCGGGGCCTCATGGGATGGAGGTGGCGCCGGCCCTTTCCTCCCCGTCCCAACGAGACCCCGAGTTGCCACCGAGGAATGGCCTCTCTGGCTCCTGATCAAGCTACTTAACAGCCATGATCCCAGAGACTCAGAAACAAATCTTGAAACCCAGCAGCTTTTGATAGAAATCCCCCCACATTAATTGTTAAAATTTCAGAATTTCAAAATCGCGCAGCCACTACTACAGCTGCGAGACATCATATGTTATTCATAACCAACAACAGAAAACAAATTGTCTACGGCTGCCTTTTCGGCAGATGTGAGTGTTGGGGTAAAATCCCAAATAATAATGGTGGGTCTGGTGTCAAAATATTGAATGTAATCAAAGTAGAGAGAGAGTAATGTGGAAATCATCTGCCCCGCAGGTGTGTGTGGGATGGGGGTATACTGGGGTTTTTGGTGGTGGAGAATGGGCACTGGTGAAGGTATGGGTGTTTCATTGTATGACCGAGACTTAGACCCGAAAGCTTTGTAACTGCTCTCATGGTGATTCAATAAATAAAATTATTTTAAAAAATGCTCTACGTCACTAATCATCAGGAAGATGCAAATCAAAACAACAAGATATCAATTCACACCACAGAGACTGGCACACATCAAAAAGAACAAGAACAACCAGTGCTGGCATGAATGAGGGGAGAAAGGGATTCTCATTCACTGCTGGTGAGAATGCCCGCTGATCCAGCCTTTCTGGAAAACATGGGCATTCCTCAAAATACTAGAAACTGAGCTTCCAAAGGACCCAGCAATACCAATCCTGGGAATATACCCTAGGGGCCCAAAAACACAATGCAGAAAATCCACTTGTACTTTCATGTTCACTGCAGCACTACACGCAATAGCTAAAATCTGGAAACAACCCAAGTGCCCAAGAAGACTGGATAAATTAGCCAGTATCTTGTATTTAGTAAATCAGGCATTAATGTTTTGTTTTGCATTTTTAGTTTCGGTAGAGCCATACCTAGCAGGGCTCTGAAGGGTGGCTGGGTCCCAGGGCTACTCTAAGGGGCTGCCAGGGTCACTCTCCATTGTACCAGGGCAGGGGGAGGGGAAGGTGGGAAGCATACAGTGCCTGGATTAAGCCCAAACCTTCACACATGAAAGAAAAGTGCCCCACCACTTGATTCACATCTAGGCAAAAGCATAGATGCTTTGAAGTTGCTGCTGAAGGAAATTAATATTAATCTGCATTACAATCCGCTCTGTCATCTCCAGGTCATTTACTACATGAAATAAATGTGATTTTTTTTTAGAACGTTCACAAAGTTATATGCAAAATATGTAAGGTCACGTAAAAAATAGGAACTCCAAAACAATAGCCATAACTATGACTAACCATCCCTATGTCATCCTCTCCCCATCCTTCTCTATTTTTCTCTTATATACGCACATATGTACAATGTCTGTAAAACTTCTATGTAGGGTCAAGGAGAGGCTTTAAAGGGTTGGAGTGCACCCTTTGTATGCAGAAGCACAAAGTTCAATCGCAGCACTTATGTCCTCACCTTCAGGTGTGGCCTCCCCAAAAAAACACTGACCCAGCACCCCACACAGAAGAAAGATTTATTCCATATAATGTTCAGCATTTTATTCAATAAGGAACAAACATTCCTCTCCACCCCTATCCTCCCAGTCCTAACTGGTGATCCTTTTCACTTAGCACTACTGAAGAACATCTCTAGTAATGCCAGTTATCCTTTCCTCTCAGAAAACCTGTTGGAAGAAGCTATTCTGCTAGCAACTTAAAATAATAGGGGCCATATTCTTTCAGAAAGAAGTAACATTTTATTAATTCTTTTGCCACAGGATTATCTAACTACTGCTCTCTACAAAACAGGACTTAATGTCTCCTTCCCAGTAACTTCCATAGTTGGTAAATAATCAGTACTTTATTGGAATATTATGTAAGAAGCTACATTACCTTACATTCAACATAAACTCTCTCAATATTTGTTAAATGAAGAAATAAATGGGAGCTGGAGTGTGGCATATCCAAGGCCACCAAAAAATAAACCAGACAAAATAAAGAACTAAGTTTTGAAACCATTATAATTTTCAGTTTATAGAGAATTCAAATATAGGCATGATCGGTCAGATTGCTCTCTCCCTGAATCAACTATCTGGATCATATGAGACCTAAATCATATCTTATGTTTCTAAAAGTTGATTTAAAAAAAATACTCTATATTATGGTCAGCAGGACCAAGCACTGCGTCTTTCTCGATAATTCTTCTTATAGCACCAAATAAGTAACAGAAGTGATAACGGAAAGAGAATCAATAGCAAATTATTTGGTCTCACGATGACAAAATGGTAACGATGAGTACCATAAAGTAGTCTGATATTATTCTCTGGTCCAATAACTTAGACCCACAGGTTTTTCCCTAATTAAAAAAAAAAACTAAAGCTTTTAAAATATAAACATTTATGGTAACTATGTGCAATTTGTGAATAAGTATAAACATACCCACTACCTAAATAACGAAAGCAAGATGGCTCTATCAACAAGAGAAAAATCAAAGGAAAGCCACTGACTGTACCGGCTTAACACACTTCTACTGGGAGAGCACTGGTACTGAGTGGCACAAGCCACTCCAGTGTGAGAGCAAGCACATGACCGGGAAGGTGGCAGAGGATACCAAGGAAAGAGGCATCGAGTGCCGAGCGATAGTACAGCTGGGAGGGCACCTGCCTTTCACGCGACTGACCCAGCACCCCAAAGCCCACCAGAAGTGATCTCTGAGCACAAAGCCGGGAGTAAGCCCTGAGCAGTCGGGTATGTCACCCCCATAAAAGAAAGAAGGAAATCTACTCGGTGAGGGGCAGGAGGGCAGGAAAGGCTGGGATCCACTCTGAAAGCCTTCACAATGCTCAAAAATAGTATGTGACCAGACTCCAAATGTTTGGAGTCAGTTCAAATCCCAACAGTTCACAACTGAGTTCACAACTAAGACTTTCGAAAAATTACTTAGTCTCTCTGGCTCTTTCAGCTATAAATTTATAGTAATACTAGTCCCTACTTAGCGAATACCAGCTCTGTGCTAGGTACTGAACACATGGGTGTATATCTTTTAATTCTCACAATCTGCCACATATGAATTATTTTCCTCATTGTCCAGGAAAAAAAAAAGACCACATTCTTTATCTCTATGCATGACTACTCCCCAGAAGGATACTACCAACCTGGCAGAGTTGTACTGGGAATTGGAAGTAAATAGAAAACTCTTAGCATTAGGAACTAGCACATGCCACATAGTAGAAGCTCCGGAAATCATTATTGTACTCTCATTTGAATAAGTGACCCAGTTGAACAGTAATGAAATCCCACGGGTAAGTTTCCCCAAACAATCCTTAACAAAACAACACCTCTATAAAACCCAAGGCTCACAACTTGCAGCTTAAAATATCAGAGTATCATCACCCAGTTCAATAGACAGACAGACAGACACACACACACACACACACACACACACACACACAGAGTTTCTCAGTTGAGCAATAAAATAGACAATGCAAAGAAAGTCCATTACGAAGGCGATATTAGGCTCAATCTGAACAACAAATACTAAATATTCTACTTTCAAAAAAAAATCTCAGACCTCAATGACACAGGTACTACTGAACAAATTTATCTAATGCCTCAAAAATAATTCCCAGAAGCATCTGTTATCCTTAAGTACTCAGCAAACTATTTCCCAGAATTGACAACATATTGCCAAAATCCTAGTGAGTTTTGCCAACACCATTCTGCTGATAGGAAAAATGAAGCATTCTGGATCTGGCAGCAAATGATACTTTCCAGCTTAGCCTCAAAAAAAAGATCTTTTCTTTGTTATTACTTTCAATGTTTTAATTTTTCAGTATGTCAATGCTGGAAATAACTAAAGAAATCATAAATAATCTTCTCTTTGAAGGACATCTAAAATACTACACCTACAACTCTTGCCTTTCACACTACTGTAAGCTCAAGAAAATCTATGACAGTGATTTTTAAAACCTGTAATACAAGTCAAAATGCCAGGGCATGAATAAACACTCAGGAAAAAAAATTACAAACCTTTAATAACAGAACCAGAGAGGACGAAAGAACAGAAGCAAAAATGAACATGAAAAGAGGCTCCTGAATTCCTAAAATCGCAATTTCAAACTTCAAACTGTCCTTTTCAAAGCAACATCTCACAAACACTGATCAGTTCCCCATATCCCTCCATCTACCTTGTTTTCCCACAAGCATGATACTTACCGGGACAGCTAACTCAACCTCCAGCAAGAGGCCTCCAAGCAGTCACAAGGGCATTTGTGGGGCAAGTGATACAGGAATGGGGAGGGCCGAGGGAAGAGCTGGAGTTGTGGGGAGGGAAGGGTACAGAGGGAGGAGACAGCAGCAGTTCGGAACAATGGGAAATTGTGAATCAAAACCACAAAGGCTTCCCGAAGAACAGGATGACAGGGAAAAGGCAACTCTTTTACCACCTCCCAGGAATCAGGAACTGACAAATCACGATAAAGTAAAAAAGACAGACCTCCAGTTAAATACAAACAAAGCAAACATAAGTAACTAACCAAAAGTAACTTGAAAGTACTATCAAAAACTTCATAGAGACTTAAGAAAAACAATTAGGAGGCTGTTTCCTCCAGGGACATTCCTGATGACAAAGGTCAGCAGTATAACAATAAGGTTTACAGGGTGGCAGCTGCTTCCAAACCAGGGCCAGCCCTCAAAAGCAGTCTTCTGCACTACAGTCAAAAGGAGCATCAGAAGACACTTTCATAGTGCTTTAAAGAATAACCCAAACAATGTCACTGCTTAAATCCTTAATTCAAACTTCCAAAACTATCTGCAATTAAATTATTTTAACATGCAAAACTCCAACTGTCTACAGCAATACACACTCTTAAAATTATTATGTGTACTGAGCTGTTGGATTCAACAATTAATTTTCAAACACTTGGGATAGCAAAATTTCCCAACCCTGAAGGCGAGGACAGTGAAAGATATCCACCCTTCTCTCAGGGAAGAGGCCAAGTTATATCATCAAGAACAAACAGCAGGTCCCGTCCTGCCCACAAGCATGTGATCAGCCAGCCCAGAACTTCCATTTGCAGGCAGTGCACAAAGGCCCAGAGGAGCAACACTCTGTTATGAATTGCTCCCAGTTATAAAACAGCTTTATTGAAAGGAGTTGTTTAGTAAGCATACTGATGAAAGAACTCATCAGCAGAATCCTTGCCAAATATGAAGATGCTGTATTTCTATAGATTGTGGAAAATATGAATTGATTCCTTGGAAAATATGAATTGATTCCTAAAAGATTTAGTAAGATCTATTGGCAAAATTAAACAAACACAGGCACTGCCTAAATCTAATTTGATTCTAATATTTTAGCAATACACAGAAATAAAAGCAACTCTTTGAAGATGAAGTGTCAAATTAAAAAAAGTAGGGGATACTATTACTTTTGCATTCAGTTTTGGGGTATTCCTCACATTTCAAAATACAAAACAGGATTTCTTCTGCTCAGTAGTAAATGCAAAGAAAGAATGTACAATATCAAAGTTAAGATCGTCAACCAAGATTAATAAGGTGGCTATGCATCCATTTATGTATACATCCATTAATTCATTAATCAAATAAAACTACAGGGGCCAGAGAGATAGTACAGCAAATAGTGTGCTTGCCTTACAGACAGGGGACGAGGTTCAATCCCCAGTACCCTATGGTCCCCACAGCCCCTGCCAAGTGTGATCCTTAGTACAGAACCAGGAGAAAGCCCTGAGTACAGTGTGCTGTGTCCCAAAAAAACAAATTAAAACTATATTACTGTAGTGATACAGAGCTTCAACCCTAGACACAATGCAACTAGACAACAAGACTCTTCATGTATCAGTCAGGCAAGGGAGGGGAACCACAGTGAACTCTCATCCTAATAGATTCAAATCTTTGAAGTCTGTCAGCAAACACTTAATGTAAAACTCCCACAGTACCCACATTCTACTTTGCCTGAGTAATTTTTTAACATTTCTTATTTCGTCTTCAAGATTATCCAGGAGGGGCTGGAGCGATAGCACAGCAGGTGGGGTGTTTGCCTTGCATGCAGCCGACCCGGGTTTGCGGGTTTGATTCCCAGCATCCCATATGGTCCCGAGCACCGCCAGGAGTAATTCCTGAGTGCAGAGCCAGGTGTGACCCAAAAAGACCAAAAAAAAAAAAAAAATCCAGGAGATTCTATCACAGCGAGAAAGAGAATCCTCTATCATTACTGGACTTCCCTACCAAATAAAGAGAATAACTATAGGTTTGGCCTGAGTGGTAAATTGCCTGTAGGAAAGTTTTTGTGGGCATAATTACTAGATCAAGAGGGAGTGTGATATACATAATTTTAGATGTCAGATATAAATATCCGGAGACACCAAAATTGAATGACTACTTACTACAGTACTTGATAAAACTGTTTCAGTAAAATATGTCATATTTTGAAATACTTTGCAAAGAATGTTATATAACATCCCACTTCTGCCTAACCAAAGATCGCTGAGAAAAAAATTACAAAATTTGGGGGTGAAGCAATAATAAAGTGGGTTGGGCCTTGCATGCGGCGACTGGGGTTCAATCCCTGGTACCCCATATGGTCCACCGAGCACCGTCAGCAGTAATTCCTGAGTGCAGAGACAGGAGTAACCCCTGAGCATTGCTGGGTAGATCCAAATATCCCCCCCAAAACAAATTAAAATATTCTTTCTAATAAATCTTCTAACATATCACAATTATACACACATAGTGCATATATGTGTGCATGCACATATAAGCACATATATTAATAAATTAGGAAGAAACTCTGAAACTTAAATAATGCAATCAAAAAATTCTTTAACGGAGAAGGGGATAATGAAAAGAACACAGAATGAAAAGTAAAGAAATCTACCTGTTGCATTTCCACAACCTTTCATGACTGGTCTCCACCACTAAAGGAGAGATACTGGCAAGTGGACCACACAATGTTCAATTTATGAAAGAACATTTTGCTCTTCATAGAGTTGCAAAAAAGGAACAAGAGAATTTCTCAATGAAACATTTCTCTAAAGAGCCGAAATGAAAGAACAGCAAGTATGCTTGCAGTGCATGCAGTTGACCCGAGAGTTTGATACCCAGCACTCCATATGGTCCCTTGAGCCCACCACAAGTGATCCCTGGGTAGCACTGGGGGACAGGGCTGAAAATACAGCTCAGGCAGTAGAGCACATGCTAGCGCATGAGGCGAGTTCAATTCCCTACAACAGGCAGCCCCTAAGAGGGCCTCTACAAAAGACAGAAGGGACGGGAATTGGGCATACAGTTCAAAACGAGAGAACTTGTCATGCATGAGGACTTGCGTTCAATCTCCAGTGTCACAAAACAGTATATATAGATAGATATAGATAGATAGATAGATAGATAGATAGAGATATAGATAGCTGACAGACACATGAAAAGATAGCATTAGGGAAATACAAATCAAAACAACAATAAGAGAACATCATCTCACACTTATTAGAATAGTTGTGATTGAAAAAAGACTACAGAAAGAGTTTGGTACAATAGCACAGTTGGTAGGACACTTGCTGACCCAGGTTCGATCCCCAGCACCACATACAGTTCCCGGAGCACCACCAGGTTTAATTACTGAATGCAGAGCCAGGAGTAACTTCTGAGCACTGCCAGGTGTGCCCCACTGCCAGGTGTGCCCCTCCCCCCCATAAAAAAAGCTACAGACAGCAGTGTACAGTATGTGGAGAAAAAGGAGCCCTTACACACTGTTGGTGGGAATGTAAACTGGTGGAGCCACTATGGAAACAGCAGAAATTTCTAAAAAAAAAAAAAAAAAAAAAAAAAAAATTGGAAGCAGGGGAGATAATTCAAAGAGTTACAGCACGTGTTTTGCACTCTGGAGTTTCAAGTTTGATCCCTGGGACAACATGGTTCCCTGAGCACTAAATCAGAGATAGCCCCAGCACTGATACGTATGCTCCCCCTCAAAAAACACCACCGATTCCAACAGATATATGCACTCCTACGTTCACTGCAGAATTATATACAACAGCCAAGAAACAGAAACCATCTGAGTGCCAGCAATAGATAGATAAAGAACATATGCTATTGGGGCTGGAGAGACAGCGCAGCAGGTAGGGTGCTTTCCTTGCACATGGCAGACCTGGGTTCAATCCCTGGCATTCCATATGGCCCCCCAAGCACCACCAGGAATGAGCTGAAATACAGAGCCAGGAATTATACCTGAGCACTGCAAGGTATGGTCACAAACCATAGAAAGAAAGAAAGAGAGAGAGAGAGAGAGACAGAGAGAGAGAGAGAGAGAGAGAGAGAGAGAGAGAGAGAGAATATATGCTATTTAGTCATGTGTCACTTAATGATATTTCAGTTCAACAACAGGGCATATATATGGCAGTCTATACCATAATACCTAAGTGTGTAGTAGGCTACACCCTAGGTTTGCATGATTACACTCTATGATATTTGCAAAATGATGAAATCACCTAACAATGCATTTCTCAGAACGTAGCTGGTGGTTGATTCATGACTATTATTAACACCATTATTACTACACAGTTATATTAGAAGGTGAAGTCCTGTCATTCGTCACTACATGGGTAAACCTTGAGGGGATTATTCTATACGAAATAAGTCAGACAAATACCAAATGTGGAAGAAACATAGAAAATAAAACAAAATAAATAAAATCCAATTCTTAGGTTCTGATGACAGAACAGTAGCGATCAGAGAAAGGAAGTATGCCAGAGGTCAAATGGGAACAGGGGCCAATTGTATGATGGGGGGTGACCCAGTGGGGGTGGAAATCGCAGCACAGACTTCAGATAGTGAAGTGTAAAGCTGTACAACTGAAACTTTCCACAATCCACAATATTATAAACCAATGTGACCTCAATCTGAAGCATATACATATGGAAAACTTCTGAGAGCTGCTTAAAAAAAAAAAGATGGCATATAATCCAGGGAATACTGAAGCCAAGGCACCTACCTGACGCTCAGTTGCGGCTGGGGCTGCAGCAGTGACGTTTCATGTCCTGGCACATTATATAGTCCCTGAAGAAAAAAATTCAGTGCTCAGAGGGTCAGGTGGAAAGGAGATAAAATCCATATGCAAAGCCTGAGTTCTCACCTTTTGAGTTATTTTCCTGGCCCCTTAAGGACACATTTTGAAGAAACTTTGGCTATTAACCACAGACCTGAATAGCAAAAGATACAAGAAAACTTCTGTGTATTTTTCATACATAAAGACTAAAAAAGGAGTTAAAGCAGTCAACGAATAGTTAGTTTGGGGGCTTGTTTTTT